GCTCTCATTATACTTTGGCGCATTCAAAATACCAGTTTAATCTTTGAAGGATTCCTAAGCTTGGGTAAGTTGATTATAGTTTACGAGTACCATGATATATGTCTCTTTAAAGTTGGCTACTGCTGCAGGGAGAGAAGATTCAGCTGTGTGACCGCACAGAACTAGGACGTTCTTGATGTCCAGACACTCAAGCCCCTAAAATCAAACCTTTCCCTTCGCGGGCTAATAGTTTGTGCTCTACATGACCCACACCACTATAAAGATATTAAACCCAGCAAGTAAATTATTCTCTAACCAGACAACGGAGTTTGTGTCGACTAGCAGACATATGTAACTGGGTCGCACGTAAACAAGCTAGGCACTCTGAGTCTGAGGTTAATTTTAGCATATCAACATTGGGTTGGCAGATTGCGGAGATAGAAAATATATACATGTACGAACGGGATAGGATGTATGTCTGCGGGTGCAGAAAAGGAAGGTGGAGAGAGGATGATCTATGTATAGTAGTGTCTATCTATCTCCAATATGTACCTTGTCTTCTATCTGGTGTACTGACTTACAGACAGATAAATGAAGGGGACATTGTCTGCTGTTCTTGAGAGTATCCTCTGAGTGACTGAGAAGGGTAGCGGGAGATAAATTGAGCTTGGTGTTTGAATCTTAGGATGAATACTATTTCTGAGTTCTTTCCTGACAGGATGATACCTCCTTAGAAGTCAGGCAAACGAGTCACAGTCCAGCCAACAATCACCAACCCATACCATCACTATCATCAAACCTACCCAAAATCCTACCTATTGTTGCCAAAACTTCAACATGGCAGGAGCTCGTGTGTGAGTTCAAGTGGCTGAGAGACAGTATTGCAGGCCACATGTGTCATCAATCTAAGGAAGCCTTCTTCAGGAGCTTTGTTGGGCTCCAGCTCAGTTCCTTTGTCCTCATATGTGAGACGATCAGTGTTTACCAGATCAACCAGAGGAAAAGCGATACATTGAGTCAGCGGGTTCAAATCACCATGGACTGAGGGGAGCAGTGACCTACCAAACTGGATGAGTAACATCTGAGATGACATACCACATGCTCTATTTACATGGCTACCTATGATGTACTTTGATGATTCATGTACTCTCTGAACTGTGTCTGGCTGTTTCAACATCATCGCTGTGACGTTAAGTACTGAAATCCACTCACTGGAAACCATCTTGATTGTCTTGATATATATATATATGTTGCAATTATAACATCCATTCAGAAATTTTCATGGCTGACTAGGGTGTCCCTGTTTCACCATTCTAACTGTCTAGCTTTTATGTTTGTGTGATTAGTGAGTAAAATCTGTGTTAACATTGCTATGATAGTTTACTATCATAGCCTGGAGGCTATCTTTTTATAGTAGTGGGTGTGACCAGCCAAGTGTGCCTAGGAATATTAGATATTCTGTAGTGCCAGAGCTTGAGTTGCCCTACTCCTGAAATAAGTTAAGCGTATATTGGCCATGGGATCTCCCTTAGACCAATACGAGCCGACACCTCAACATTATTATTTCAGAGTGCTGTTGGTTCTTAAGGAGCAATTCTTAAATCAGGCACGCGACACGAGCGGTATGTGACAATGAGTTCCCTCATAATATAAAATGTCACTGTTCTACATCATCATCAAGTGCTTTGCCGACTGGCAGGGGCAATCATGCCTCTCGACATTCTGCAATCTTCTGAAACCCATTCATACCTAGACAAAAAGATGTTAAGAATCTTCTAGTGTTGTCTTTCCCTGTCACTTTTTATCAATCTATATTTTAAGTGGTCACAACGTGTTCCAGTTCCTTCTTCTTAAAAACCTTAAAACAGACATGTTTAAAGAATGCATGAGAATACTTGGCTGCAAAACAGACATAGTAGGTAGGTAGGTAGGTAGGTAGTTGCACCCTACCAGGTGATCACACAAGCAATAAACACTCTGTAACACAAAGTGCCACCATGCAGATGAGGATCACCCGTGGAGAGGTCCCAGAAACCCCTTTCAGCCATGAGGCCATATATTTATAATACCCCGCTGTATTTAGGGCCCCCAGTAGAAGCCAGGGTGGGGTTTCAAATGACAAAAAATTGCATCCTACATGGGGACGACTTATTACCAGACATAGTGGCACATTGATTAGCATAACTGCCTGCTCTCTCAGGAGCCATGTAATCAAATTATCTTTGAATTTTGCATTTAGAAGTCGTCCCCTTGTGGGATGCAATTTTTTGTTTTTTTTAAGCCCCAGCCTGGCTTCTGCCAGGGGCCCTGAATACAGCTGGGCCATATAAATATATGGCCTCACGGCTGAAAGGCGTTTCTGGGACCTCTCCGCAGGTGATCCTCATCCGCATGGTGGCACTTTTTGTCACCGGGTGTTAACCTTTTGTGTGATGTCCTGGTGGGGTACAACAAGCGAGCAAGCAAGCAATTTTGCATTACCGCCTCCACCCAGTGTTCAAAGCTCACAGTCTACTGAGGGTACCTACAAATGTCTTGAGAAGTTAGGGCTGTCGAGTGACATTAACAACATGACACATCGCGTGCAGATCAGTCTGAAAATATGGAGTATGTCGACACAGTTTCACCTAAAATCTTTGAGTTACAGCCCTTGGCATATTCAGGCTATTCATTCCTCGGCCGCACATATCTTTCCTTAACGTTACATCTGTCGTCCCCATGTGGGATGCAAATAGGGCCCCATATATAGCCGGGCCCTAAATGTGGTCTAATGATTTAATGAGGTTTTTGGGACCTCTTCACATGTGATCCTCATCCGTATGGTGGCACCTTGTGTTACCGGGTGTTTATCGCTTGTGTGATGTCCTGGTGGGGTACAACTTACCTACCTACTTTTGTCTTTCTATTCCAGTAGCAAGACATCACTGTGGTTGCTTTTTGACAGGTCAGTTAAGTCATTTTGTAAATTTGTGTGGTTTTATTTGATTTACGTATGTGCTGACGAAGGCTCTGTAGCTGCAGTGTTCACTTTTTGTTTGTGTTTGTGATAATATTGTGAAGCTCGCTGATTTACTCTCCATGAAAACATGCAGCAAACATCACATATCAAATTAGATTTATGACAAGAGCAAGTTTACATGTTTAAATGTTTTTTTTATTTGATAACGTCTGAAAAATATGTAAGTCTTGGTTATGTAAAAAAAAAAAAACATAACGAGGTGGCAAACAAACATACTTTACTATGTACTGCCTGGCATATTACTCTGTATCTTATCAGATGCGTTACTAAAGTGTTTACATAAAAAAATATGTAAAACAATAAACTGTACAATATATTTATTTCCTGGTTAATTAACTTTATAACAGACAGAGAAGAACATCTTATACATTAAATCTCTGTCGTTTAAGATAGGAGAAAAAAATACGCTTTTTTTAAACATATGGCAGTGAATCCTGGAAAATAAGTAAAGAAGCCAACACAAACTCTTGTGAGACCTTCGAAATGTAGTTTTATAAATTAATGCTTACAATTTCTTGGACAGCCATGTGATGCTGAGTAATCCAGATGACTCAACAACACCTTATCAAAGGCATCAGAAAAGACAGCATTTCAGGTAATGTAATGAGAAGGCGGAAACTGTAACATGTTGTGAACACCTAACAGATTTGTGGAAAGAGACACAGCAGAAAATAACGTTAGAATATTCTTGTCAGGCTCTTGCCATGTCATGTTGTCATGTAGGAATGTTGGTACATAAATTACTTTGTACTTTGGGTGATCGCAGGCTGTGGAGAGGCATGACACTCGATGATGATAATAATGAGAAAACAGTGTTTTGACCGTAAGAAAGTGGTTGTTTTTGACCCTATTGTTAATAATAATCGCAAGTGACAAACTTTCTGGACTTCAGGATAATTTATCAGTTATGTATGTGTGCAAACGTTTGGGTGGGACTTGAAAATTGTTAACTGATTAGAGAAATTTGAAGTAGACAGTCAGTGTTTATTAAACAAATTATGCGAAGGAATGGAACTGAGAACTCCCCATATTGTTTCCAGGGTCGTCACATTAGAAGGGGGGGGGGGGGGAGAGAACCACTGCCCCCACACACATACTCAAGTGCTAATAACAGTCCTAATAGTCCTCATAACAGTCCACCACAACTAAGCCAAAAATCTGAAAAACAATGTGCACACAAACTCAAGTTCTGGAAGAAAACCAATCTAGGAGTTGACCAAAAAAAAAACCAAAAGAATTTTCTGCCAGAGAACAGCCAGTGAATGCTAAAAAAAAAAATAACTCTGCATCTTGGTGACACTGGCATGATTGATGGATAAACAGCAAGAGGAAAATTATGAACTCTTTTGATATTAAGCAGCTCATCATTATATTTATTGCTCTTTCCACAGGTAACCCACCACTTTGACTTTCATCAATCACAGACATTTGTCACATTACCTTATTATCTACATGTTAGACATTTGTCACATTATCTTATTATGTACATATTAGTTTAGTTAATTCTGTTCCTTAGTTACTTCTCTCTCTTAGTCTTATTATTTTAACCCCTTGAAGTTCAAATTTTATGTACTTTAAAGTAGAATTAATCCCGAAAGAAAGAGGTGAAGTATTTACTCACTGAAACTGAACAAGTTGAATCAAAGTGTACTAACATTTTCATTTCTTGATGGCTTTTTTTTGGGTACTTTTATATCTAAGCTGTCACTGTTGGCTATTTCTGCCATATTTTCATCATTTCTGTGTACAAATTCCATTATTTGTGTATCTAAATTATGAACTTAATGTGGCTGTGTCCAGGGGCCGTAATTATAACCCCATGGGCTGCACAGGGTTTTTTGCACCTGTCCCCAGGTGATCCTCATCCCTAATTATAACCCTATGGGCTGCACAGGGTTTCTTGCACTGTCCCTAAGTGATCCTCATCCAAATGGTGGCACTTTATGTCACCGGGTGTTTATCACTCAGAGTGATGTCCTGGTGTGGTTAAAATGTCAGTCAGTCAGTCAGTCACTTCTTGTGTTTCAATGCAGGCTGCATTACTCTCTGACAAACCCTCTTGTGTTACCGTTTCTAATGTATCATTATTAGGTACTGTAGTCATAGTTTCATTAAGTTGAAATTCTTCCCCTGATACAAAAATCTCAAGATCCCCAGTACTTAGGGACTCTCTAGTATTGTATCCTTTATCAATCTTCATCAAATCTTCAATAAGGTAAGCATATCGGACATGAAGATCTGAAAAAATTGTTGAAACTTCCTGGTTAAATCTATCTTCTTCCTTTAGTGAGTCTACATCCTTTACTGACCTATGACTGTGAATATGCACTGGAGACAATCTTGAATTTAATAAAATACCTGAGGCAGGTTTTGAATATGGGGATACAATGTTTTTACCAAATGTAGGATGAATTAAAGGCGGCAGGCTCAATTTAGCTGGTTTCTGAGTCTCCTCATCAAATTCACTTAAACCTGTTTCTCTTCCACTGGTATAAGATTTCCTTTCTTCATCATCAGTCTCAGCTTGGACAACAGGATAATTTTCTTCAGGTTCTTCTCCACTTCTGCTCTTCTCTTCTTCATCTGAGATGAATGATTGCTTAGTTGCAGGTCTTGATTTGCTGCTTAGAGAACAACTTTCAGATCTATGACCGAGAAGAGCTTCAAGTTCTTTATCTGCTGCTTGCGTGAACTCACTGCCCTCTCTGCTGAATGGTTCTGGTGTTGTACTTGCTAGTGGTGTTGCCATTTTTGATTTAGAAGAAGGTCTGTGTTTCTTGATATTAGCTTGGGACTGTATGTGTTGTAACATTAGTGCCTTTCTCTTGTTTAATGCCTGGAATATTTGAAAAAAGGTATCATACACATTGCAGAGATAGTTCTTCATTACATTTCAGCAACTAAATGTTAAACAGTAGAGATCCAGTGTGGGTATGGTATATATGTCTAGCAATATCATAAATTTATTGTTTTTTTTTGCACATCTAGTTGTTTAAGGTTTAAAAGGTTTAAACCAAGGATCAACATCAAGGCACAACGGTAGTAACCCATAAGTGCTCCGTTTTACTTCTAACTCAGCCTGAGTCAGAAGAATCTCAGTTCAGTGCATGAACTCTGTAGCACCGGTGAGGATCCTGAAATACTTTGGGTAGATTTTTATCACAAAAGTTTGCCCGGGCAGCACTGTTAGGCTACTCTTTTTGATTTCCAACTGCCAAGGGATTTTTTTACGTGCACAACAATATAAACTGGCCTCCGATCTTACTACCCAGAGACCAGAGGAAACTACTAGAAGTCCAGTGAAAAAAATACCAACCTTTACTGGGACCTGAACCCTGGACCTCCAGCAATCGAGGCGGACAACATGCCCAGAGACCACTCAGCCCACACACCTAGTTGTACTTATTAGAAGTGTCTGTTATAACTATCATCATTATCGTCAGGTGCCTTGCCGACTGGCGTGGGCGATCATGCCTCTCCATAATCTGCGATCTCCTGCAGCATGTATCAGTTCGTGTGCCGACACACCTACATGCCATGCAACAAGACTGTCAAGCATCTTCTCTCGTTGTCTTCCTCTATTTCTCCTTCCACATATCTTTCCAGTGGTCACAACATGTTCTATTTTCCCTCTTCTCATAACATGGCCGAAAAATGATGACTGTCTCCTTCTGATGTCTGTGATAAGTTGCCTTCGGGCTCCCGCCTCTTTCAAAACCTCTTGGTTGCTCTTTTTGGCTGTCCAAGGTATTCCAAGCATTCTTCTGTAAAACCACATCTCCGAGGCCTCCAGAAATTGTTTGGCCTGCCTACCGATTGTCCAGGATTCACAGCCATATGTTAAAACTTGATGTATGTAGCAAGCAAGAATTCTTTTTCTAACTCTCAATGACAAGGAAATATTGCACAAGATGTTTTTCATTTTATAAAATGCAGTTTTTGTCTGTCCTATTCTGTTTCTTATTTTAGTTATGCATCTTCCATCTGATGTTATCCATGTGCCCAGATACTTAAATTTCTGTACTTGTCCTAAAATAACACCATCAACTTTTATTACACACTTAGGAATAATTCGTTTCTTTGATACCACCATTACTTCTGTCTTCCCATTATTCAAACTGAGGCCCATTCTTCCACTTTCTAACACCACAATGTCTATCATTTCCTGTAGTTCTTTCTGACTTGTTGCTATCAAGACTGTGTCATCAGCATAACGTAAATTGTTTATATTGTGCCCACCAACCACAATTCCGGGCATACCAATTAAAGCTCTCATTATATATTCACTGTATATTGAAAACAAATCAGGTGACAGTACACATCCTTGTGGTACGCCCCTCTTTATGCTTTGAAATGTGCCTAAACAGTTGTTAATTCTTATAGCTGCTGTTTGCTGCCAATACATATTCTTTATTATTTGTATATCTTTCCCATCAATGTTGAATTTTTCTAACAGTCTGATTACTTCTTCATGCTTCACACTGTTTTCATTAGAAATGCAAACAACTGACTCTGAACTTCAAATCTACTTAAAAACTCAAAGTGTAGAAACAATCAAGTACAAAACATGGGAAAGCTCTATAATTTTTCAGAGCAAAGTCACATTATTTTTGAACTGAGTGCTGGGGTATTCCTGGCAATGTGGTCAAGTAATTTGCCTTGCACTCTAAAGGTCACCGGTTTATTTTTCCCAGACTGAGTCATTTGGTTCCCTAGTGCAACTTGTACAGAAATCCCTGGGGATTGACACTGGTGCTACTGAGTTTGTGCTTCGTGTGACACTCACAGCCGGTGGTTAGCCATTATGAAGAGAGATAGTGAGCTGTATGGAATAAATCCTGGTGCAATGAAGTTGATCCTCTTAACCTTAAACTTTAAACATGATAATGAGCTGAACAAATGGATTTTAACTTTGAAGTACCAGGTATCAAAAACATTATGTTTAAAAGAACCTTGAAATATACTGAGTATGGATTTAAGCCTCCTTAAATTTAAGTCTTCAGAAAACCATTATTAGTTCTTAAACTCCCCCGTGTGGGTTCCGGGGCCCCATTGTGGGGAAAACAAGAATAGACCCACTGCCTCCCGAAAAGCATGTCGTAAGAGTCGACTAATTGGGGAGTTTCCTTTGAAGTCGGAGTGCATCTGCCAAAGAGGCAAGGAACCAACAGTCTGTATTCAAGAGAATGAGATCTGTAAAACTGATGCACACGCAACACTCAGGTTCTGGAGCAGGACTGCAGTTCAGTAGTGGACGAGCAACCAGAACTTTCCACCAGAGTGTACAGCTGGTGAACGCGAAGAAGAAGAAGAAGAAGTTCTTAAACAGAAAAACAAGAGAAGTAAGGAAAGTCTATGACAACTCAGCTATCAAAATAGTGCTATTTAAGATGCTTGCTTGCCTGCCAAAAGATCTCGGGTTCAAGTCTGCATTGTTAAAAAAAAAAAGTAAAGGACCCTTTTCCACGCTTTTATGTGAAGAGGGCATAAAGGGCTAGACCTATATTTCATATACCAATTGGCACAAGATGGGTGATGTGGTCAACATCATGCCCCTGCCTTATCTTCCCGGGACTGTACCTGGTACCCACCGAAGGCTGCATTCAAGCATTTTTCAAAACTGACCCCAACTCTCAGATTTACCTAGCCTAAAATGGGTAACATGTAATATCTTAGGAACTAAAGGTGGCTGGAGTGATGCTGACCCCAACTCCCAACTGAGTGCTGATATATATATATATAAACCCCCCCCCCCCCCCCCCCCCCCCCCCCCCCCCCCGCTTTTCCAGTGACATTGGCACAAAGAATTCTTTACTTTATGTTACTATTACAGAGAATTAAAATGGATAAACAAGACGCTTTTGGTCATATCACATGCCATAAAAATCTATTGTTTTTCTGCCTTTCATCTTCCCAGATCGGGAAATAGAAACAAGATGCCAGTGAGCTAGATCAGTTATATAGCAAATGACACCATCATTAAGACATCCAAATGTCAGCATGAGCACCAAGAAACAGATTTTAAACAGCATATTTATACCAGAACTGTGCTACCAGTGCCAGACTTGGACATTATCAAAGGTTAACATACATAAATTTAACACCTGTGAAATGAGAAGCCTGAGGAAAACCATCCATGACAAAGTTAACAGTGATACTCTTAGACAGATTGTGGGAACAACACCACGCACCAAATTCACTGAGAAACAGAAGATCAAATGATTTGGTCATCTTGTAAGAATACAGCCAGGACAACTACAAACACAGGCACTACACATGAAAAGATCCGATGTGAAAGAAATAGGACACATTAGGAGAATATAGACTCATGACATTAAAGAGCTTCTATACCAACATGAAATAAAAATAGCCATTGCTACCCATCAATTATTGGATCGCAAATGGTTTCTCCCCATGACGCTTAATGGCAAAAGTAAAAATTGATGATGATAATGATGACTTAATTAATAGTTAGCTGCATATCATTTACAGGTCATTGTAGAACCAATTTAACCATTTTTTAAAATCTGTTTAGGATTTTACTGTACAAGTTTACATTCAGTAGACTGACACTGCTCCCTGAACGATTAGCTCTCATTACCATTGTCAAAATCAGCACAAGGCAGTCTGCTGCCAAATTGCCTGCAGCTGGACAAACACGGTATCTCAGAATTACAAACTCTATTTGCATCACCTAAGCCATAGAAACTGACAGCTACTCCATTACTTAATTAAAACCAAGTAAAAACATTTCTAAAGAAAATCAACACTGCCAATTAAAACCAGTCATCATCATCATCATTATAAACCACTATATGGAGAATGGAGAGTGAGAAGCAACAACAAAATTCATAATCTGTTGAAATCATGACTATCTACTAGTATCATGAGGGCTAATAGACTGCAATGGTTGGGACATAAAGAAGGAATGACAGATAATAATCTATCTCTTTTCACTCATAATTATGCTTGGATGTCTTAATAATGGTGACAATTGGTATATACGTGCACTTGCTTTTTGACATCTAGTTTCCATTACTCTGTCAATTCTACCATCTTCTGTGATCATACTTCCTAGAAATTTAAACTCCCTTACATGATTCAGAGCAAAGCCATTCAACTGTATGTGTAGTGGGGCAGGGGTTCTACTAACTAAAAACCAGTATAACACTAAAATACAAAAGACAAAACAGTACCTCAATATCCTCTTCTGTCAGATACACAATTTTCTTCAGCTGTGCTTGTTTAGAATCATCAGCCTCATTGACCATTATCTCTGAAGCAACAATATTGTGGTCAGATAGCCTGCAGATTTCAGATTTAATCTGGGCCACCATTTCAGTGTCATCTGTAGCACTGACACCAAACTGAATCAATGCTTCGGCAATTTCCCTGTTGATAAAAATGTTGGTTATATATAATTTCCAAGAATAGTTACCAGATTTTCAAGTTTCTCTCCCTGACTTTTATTTTCTGAATTCCCACCAAAGTTTCTATCCAGGCAGAAACCCTGGAGTACAACTAAAAGAGACAAAGTGTACCACAAACTTTTGAAAACAGTCTTATGGCAAATCTTTGGCCCTGTTAAAGATGTCAACAGCAGAGAATGGAGAGTGAGAAGCAACAAAAAAATTCATAATCTGTTAAAGTCATGACTATCTACTAGTATCATGAGGGCTAATAGTCTGCAATGTTTGGGATATATAGAAGGAATGACAGATAACAAAACTTGCGTACACTAAAGAATTGAATGGGAGTAGACCATCAGGTAGACCAAAAAGACAGTGGAGAGATAATATACATGCAGATCTACAAACTCTTGGAATCACCAAATGGAAAGGATAGGCCAGTCACAGAGATGAATGGAGGATGTTTATATATGCAACAATAAACCTTAAGGACCTAGAAAGCTGAAGAAGAATAAAAAGAAAAACAATAATCTGGATCATATGCCCATTACACCTCAAAGCAGTGAAACTACTTAGTCACAGATTTACTTTGCTTAGTCTCTCTCTCTATATATATCTTTGTGTCATGCAAGCATTACACTTGCAGATCAATTCCGTTTGAAAAAAAAATTTTTTTTGGCTGCACTTTTATTTATAAATTAATGAGTTTCTCTTTTAAACAATGTTTTGCCTTTTCTTTCCATTTGGAGACACCAGATGTTTGTAGGTCCGTCTGAATATTATCTCTTTATCATCTTCTTGGTCTGTCTCATGGTCTACGACCATTCAGCTCTTTGTGTATACAATTTTCACCCCTCTGTCATCTGACATTCCCTTAATATGCCCCAGCCATTTTAGTCTATTAGCTCTCATGATGCTAGTGATCAATGATGATTTAAACAGATTATGAATTTTGTTGTTGCTTCTCACTCTCCATTACCCGCTGTATGCATTTTTGAAATGTTTGTTTATGCCTTTTGGAAATCTACAAAAACATAGTGTAATCTCTTCTATATTCCCAAATTTGCTCTACTGTTTGTCATAAAATGAATATCTGATCTATTATTGGTCTCTTCTGTCAAAAACCTGCTTGGTAATCACCCAATGTATCTTCTATGTATGGTTTTAGCCTCTTGGACATAGCATCTTATAGTTTGTAGATAATAGTGATGTTCCTCTATAATTTTTACATTTATACTTGTCTCCTTTCATAAAAATTGGTATTTATAATTACTCTTTCAACTCATGGGGTCATTTCCTTGTCTTGGAAAAAATAGTTTTTTTAATTCACATATCTTTAAATGTAATTCATGACCACCTTCTTTTATAAGTTCAGCAGCAATTCCATCAGCACCAGTTGCTTTATTGTTTTTAGGCCGTATTATGACACAGTATTTCTTCAAAATCAGGTTCTTTAATATTTTGTTCACATATTAGTATCTCTTCCTGTGGATAAGTATCGAGTAGAGTTTCACAATTTAACAATTCAGCAAAGTATTCCTTCCATCAGTTACATATTTCCTTATTTTTATTTATCATGTTCCCATTGTGATCTTTTAAACTATATATGCAGTGTATATATATCTTTTCTTTGAAATCTGGTGCTGCTTATCTAGCCATTTAGCTACTGCAAGGTTGATTAATCTCCATCCCTTATTGTTTGAATTTGTATGCAGGCTTTGAATGCTGCTACATTTTTATAGATGTTTTCTCTTTCTTTTTTTTTGGCAGTGAAATCTCCTAAGACAACCATTATGTCCTGTTTTTTAGTGTCCTTTATGATATTTCCAAGAGGATCATAGAAATCTTCTTTATCTTCAGTAGGCGCATGCATATTAACCATTGTGATATTTTCTGTTTATTCGTAACATACTGATCCTATCATTAACAGCCTCAAAATGTATACTTTCCCACAACTTTGACGACAAATCCTGTATCTAGTTCATGATTGTTGAGAGTTTCCTCCATACACTATGATCATTTCATTTTCCTCTATGGTACCTTGTCCTTGCCATCTTGTTGCTTGAATCGCTGTAACATCCATTCTGTAATCTGATAACTCGTGAGTCAGTTATTCAGCTGCTCCAGCTCTGTAAAGGGTTTGCACATTCCACGTTCCAAATCTCCAAAATCCGTTAATGTTTCAGTTTCGTTGTCCATTAAAATCCATCTATTTCGTGATGAAATGAAGTTTTACGAAGACAGGGGTGTCGGACCTACGCTTCAACCTCCAACCTGGAAAAATATCTTCAATAGTGAACGCAAATCATACTAAACACTGACTGATGTCAAGATTATCATTATTAATTATGTATTTCTTAATCATCATCAATACTTTTGTTTTTGGTGGCACACAGAACCAGCACTTTTTTAAATGAATAATTTGTTTCAGTACTAGTATAACAGTAACTTTTTAAGGCACTTTGTGGTGAGTACCCACACTTTTTCTAGGAAAAAAACCTGACCGTCGTCATCCTATTTTCTTGAACGGAGTCAAAGAACAAATTAAGTTCCTGACCCAATGTGCCACTGTATCATCCTGTGCTCCAGTCTTCTCCTACAGATGTAACAAGTAGAATTAAAGCACAGTGCACAGGTTCTGTAACACCAGCAAGGATCCAAATATTCATATATCAGTTGCTGACCTTTTGATATAAATGTTAGTGACATGATTTTGACTCTAAAATGAGCAAATTATCATTTATCATGAGTTTCTATGTGCAGAATAAGTTGCAATGTTAAAAAAAAAAAAAACAACTAACATATAAGATGAGGAAAGATCAATACATACTTTCTAACAATGCCACTTGATTCCACCAAGAGTCTCTCTTGTAATGTTTCAATGATATCCTCATCTCTGATGTTAAGTGCCACAATTGAGTGACATGCCTCAGCTCGCACACCTGAGTTATCTTCATATCTCAGTGCCCAAAACAGACACTCCTTAACGTCATTGTTAACTGTTCCAATTTTGCCTAATGCTGAAATTATTAAAATTTTCATGAAATGTATATGTACATTTTATATTCAATCAAACATTACTGATATAAAAAAAGCAAAGTTTTTCTGTTGTACATTTGAACTTAGAAGACACAAACAACAGAATTTACAATTTCTGCTTGGCATGTTTTTTTTATTTTTTTTTTTATAGATTTTACTGTGTAAAGCAAAATAACATGGTGGTCAGCTTGTTATTACCCTTTTAACATACACCTGAGTAGGTTTATATATATTTAAGTTGAAAGAATTAATTCATTTGCTTCATTTTATATATGTCTAATAGATAAGTGAAATATACTAGGCAATCATCTGTTCATATCTTTTTGTTCAAACTTTACAGACTTCTTCCTCTTCTCTTCCACCTACCACTTCATTGAAGTGGTGGGGGGATGGGGGGGGGGGGGGGGGGTAACATTAGTTGATGATCTCAAGCGAGCACACACACACACACACACACACACACACACACACGCACGCATGCATGCACACACACACACACACACACACACACACACACAAAGAAGAGAATCATACAACACAGTGAAAAAGCTTGATGGGATCTTTGGTGAGCTGCACACAATGGAAAAGGGTAGGACTTAGCCTAGATTCATTGATTCATTAAGTCTATGTTTTATTGGGGAATAAAGGGTAGGAGAAGACAAATGACAATCACAGGGTTTCAGGGAGGGCGCTGTCCACCTCATCGCTGCTAAGAATACAAAAACTGGGAGTGAATGAACAAACTTTATTTTCAAAGGACTAAAAATTAGGCACACAAGCCCGTCTTACATTCTGCTCTTCTGGCCTCACTCCATGCATACATTATTCATTCACATATCGTTTTTAGCAGATAATAATAATGGGAGGGAAGATCAGCAAAGTCAGACACAAGAGACACACTGGATGTATGAGAAGTCTTGTTGACCAGCACAGGACTGGCACTTCTAAGCACAGGATGCTGATACATAAGTTGAGGGGATACTCTGAGCACCTATGGACCTGTCCAGAGTGCTGGGAAGATAACCCAACCCATAAATCATGAATTGTTGCATGGGTTCCGAGGCCCCATTTTGCGGGGATAAAGAATAGACCATTCACCCCCCCCCCCTAAAATCAGGTTTTAAAAGATGACTATTTAGGAGTGTTTCCTTTGAAGTCAGAGTGCGTGTACCTGAGAGATGCTGAACAAACAGTCTGCACACAAACAAGCCGGATCAGATCTGTAAAATGTATATGCATGCAAAACTCAATTTCTGGAACAAGACCAAAGTCCAGAAGTAGATGAACAACCAGAACTTTCCGCTGCAGGTTGCTGATGATGACAACTCAGAAGAAGAACAAGATGAAGAAGATAACTGATGAATGAGTAAATACTGGTGTACTGTTAGGCAGAATGACTGAGAAGAACTAAATCCTCAGAAAGCTAAAGGAGAAGCTAGAAGAGACACTGTATATTACATACCTTGTATAGCTAAGGCCTTTACTCTCCAGGAAGGATCTGATGTTGCTAGAAGAAGCAACTGTTGTACAGCCTGCTCTTCATTTATTTGCAGGTTCCCACAGGTAATACACACTTCACAGCGGATGGACACAAAATGACTTGCGAAGCACTGCAGAAATGCAGGCAGCAGCTTGGCTGTCATTATACCTAATAATGTAAAAAATATATAAACAATATAATCACCATACTATCAAGTCTTATCTGTGTGTTGGATGTCTTTGTGGCAAAGTGGTCAAGCCATTTTCCTTGTGCTCTGAAGATCATGGGTTCGTTTCATGGCTGTGTCCTTCAGTTCACGAGTACAATTTTTAAGAAGATCCCTGTGATCATCACCGGAGCTATAGAGTTCATGCTTTGTGCGATGCTCTCGGCAGGTGGCTAGCGGTTCTGCAGAGAGAGACTAAAACATATGGGATTTAAACCCAGTGCAATGAAGTAGCTGTGTGTGACTTCGACTGTGGGTTCCAGGGCCTTATTGTAGGAAAAACAAGAAGAGGTCACTGCCAGCCAAAAAGCATGTCATAAGAGTAAACTAATTGGGATCTTCCTTTGAAGTTGGAGTGCATCTGCCAGCGAGACAAGGAACCAACAGTCTGCATTAAGTGAGTCAGATCTGTAAAATTGATGTGCACACAACACTTAGGTTCTGGAACAGGACTACAGTCCAGAAGTGAACAAATAAACAGAACTTTCCGCCAGAGTTTACTGATGGTGAACACAAAGAAGAAGAAGAAGAAGAAGAAGAAGAAGAAGAAGAAGAAGAAGACGAAGATCTGTATGTAACTGAGGCCCGTAAGGGAAGCAAAGAATAGTAACACTATTAACCCTGCCTGATCCTGCCTTAATGTTACTTCATAACCCCCAATATAACCTTACCGTTGAAAAGGGCTCACTTGGATTTGTACATGTAGGATTCTCATCCTTGAAGTGTTAATCCTGCGGACTGCAATCCTGGATGGGACAAACTGCAATGCAAGTAACACTAAACCTAACATGCCTGTTCGTGGGTGACTGGTTACTCCTTTCCAAGGCTTCAACCTGGCTTCTGTGAGCTATAGCCACAGCCATGACTCACATCCATAGGTCAGGACTGGTACATAGGTAGAGCTATAGCACAATATGCTGATTATATCCATAGCTTATCATAAGCCAGAAAGATGTTATTTGTAGGTAACACATGTCTAGGACTAAACGGACTGAATATGTTTACTTTTATGACATGTGTCAACATACTGACCTAATTGTCCCAGTTTGCTGATGGCCTCCAATTTAGTTCTTTCTGTCCCATGAAGCAGCTGTTCTATAATGCTGTTATGAACATCCTGTCCATGGCTTGTCTTGCCCAGGCACTGGGCCGCAGCATTTCTAACCTCAGCATGCCAGTCATGCCACATCAGCTCTAACAGTTTATGAGTGATGTCCTGTGGTGAAATGTTAGACTATATTTTACCAAAAAATAATGAGCTAAAGTGTATTAAAATAGTATTGAAAGACGCTGCCTTCTCAGCAAGCATGTCGTAGGAGTTGACTAACTGGGGACTTCCTTTGAAGTCGAAGTGCATCTGACGAGCGGTAAGGAACAACTAACTGCACACAAATGAGCCAGTAAAATGGATGTACACACAAAACTCCGGCCCTGGCACAAAGCCAAAGTCCAAATGGACGAACAACCAGGACTTTCCAACGCAGCTTACAGCCAGTGAACAAACAAGAAGAAGGAAGAAATGCCCGGAGGGATATGGTTCTAGGCAGGGCTTTTTTCTGGTGGTACACAACAGTATGCAGTACTGGCACCTTCTTCTTTTAGGCATCATTTTAAAAATACTTCTGCAGTAGACATACATTTTTAGTAAATACTGGCAATTTTTCTTCAAGAAAAGAAAAAAAGTACTGGTCTGAGCTATATATTTATACAGACAAAATGACACTCAGGAAATGATGTAATTAATATGACATCCGATAATTTTACTGCCTAGTACATTTCCAGGTTATCATTATGAGTCTAGATCAACAAGAAAGCCTTGGATATTTTTCTAGGTTACAAGCAGCTCTGATGGGGATTCAAAACTATAACTGCGGTGTGTTAAAAGTGAAACAGCTCAAAAGAAAATAACAGCTATCTGAAATTTACAAATGGTATTAATTACACCTATTTACTCCCTAGTGAGTCTTTGTCATGCAGTGGTTAGACACTCGACCTGGGCCTGAAGGTTGTAGGTTCAAATTCACCTTGAACCGATTTAAAAAAAAAAAAAAAATTTACCTTGGCTCCCAGTTCAAATTAGCCTAAAATGGGGCCTTGTAAAGTCCTGGAATGCAAAGGCAATCGTCATGATGTTAATCACATCACCCACCCAGTGCCGACTGGTTTGAAAAAAAAATAGGTCTAGCACTATGTACCCAATACGCTTAACGGTGTAGAAAAGGGTCCTTTACTTTTTTTTCACCTACTCCCTATGTGCGTTCTGCGGCCCAGTTAAAAAGAATAGATCTACTGCCCTTTAACAAGCACGTCATAAAGGAATTCACTTAAATAAGATGTAGTGGTCCAAAAGGTACAAATATTGTGGCCTAGCTGTAAACAGCAACACAATGTGCCACCTGCCTTTAAAGGGTGAATCAGAAGAAGAAGACATCTACCTACCATAGTGATACTATCTGTCTTGTACAAATCTTACCCTATTGATAGATCCACAGAGAGTGGGTAAAATTTTACAAGCAATCACACGGTGCCGCCAGTTACTGCTGTTCAGTTGCTCAGCCACAATGCAGTGAACAATATTCTGGAAAAAAAATGTTTTCCTTTCCATTACTGTTATTTATTATCACCATCACCTTATTTATGTATTCACAACAATAATCCTATAATAGTCATGAACCCATTAACTGTATATGATGATCATATCATTATAAAATACAGTGTGTTTGTAAAGTTTCACTAAACTTTGTATACAGAACAAATATGAAAAACAAAGTACATGACATCATAAAAAATGTGTTTAAAAAAAAGTCATAAAATTAGTTACAACAGTCACTGCTATTGTCTAATGCTGTCTTGGGGAAGCTGAAAGTACCATGAAAAGCTGAAAGTACCAGTGAAAAGCTGAAAGTACCAGTGAAAAGCTGAAAGTACCAGTGAAAAGCTGAAAGTACCAGTGAAAAGCTGAAAGCACCAGTGAAAAGCTGAAAGTACCAGTGAAAAGCTGAAAGTACCAGTGAAAAGCTGAAAGTACCAGTGAAAAGCTGAAAGTACCAGTGAAAAGCTGAAAGACCAGTGGAAAGCCAAAAGTACCAGTGAAAAGCTGAAAGTACCAGTGAAAAGCTGAAAGTAGCAGTGAAAAGCTGAAAGTAACAGTGAAAAGCTGAAAGTACCAGTGAAACATTAATTATAACAAGTGTTGGAAAAGTCAACCATGGGAATCAAGACATGACTGTACATGTCTCTTCATCAGGAAATCTTGCAAGAAATCCTTGAAGAACCTTCTGTTTGTATCGACCATAATTTCGAAACACTTGTTTAACCACGAAAAGAATTTCTTCCACTGATAATATAATTCTGTTCTGAGTGCAAAGAATTGCTCCAGCAGACGACAGCCACTCACTACATATTGCTTCACGATTGACTGTGGAGCATATTTTTTTTAAAATAGAAAGCAGAACTGTTGACTCATTATATTAAATAACCACCTTATGCTAGCTGAAGACAAAAGATCGTATAACTGCCATCTGTCAACAGAATGCTATAGATCAGGGCGTTTCAACTAAGTTTACTCAAGGGCCAACATTCTGAAAATAGGGATCATCACAGCCCAGAGGCCCAAGATCAAGCATAAAAAATAATACTACAATGCCACTGGCAATAACCTGCAAGCCACTGGCTAGGCCTCTGCGGGCCACATATGGCTTATCGAATGCCAGTTGAATAGCCCTGCTATAAGATAGTAGAACTGTCAGAGTAGAAAAGCCCTCTGGTAATGAAATATAATAACAGATAGTGCAGTAAATGTATAAAAATCAATTTTGGGAGGAAATACATAATAAGATAAACATAATTATTTGTCTTAAATATAAAAAAAAAAAAAAAAAAAAAAACAACAACAAACAAATGCACGCACGCACACACACACACTCTCTCTCTCTCTCTCTCTCTCTTTCTCTCTCCTTGCCTCATTTACAAATAATGAGGAGAAATAAACTATTTAAACAGGGGAAACCAGGAACACAACACGAAATGAGAATTACTACAAACTTTTACACAAAGTTATTGACAAACTACCCATAGTTAGAACAAGTGATTCCAGGTCGACCCAGCCTTAAATAGGTACCAGGTACAGTCCTGGGAGGTAAAGGCCAACGTGAGGTTGACCACATCACCCACTGAGTATCAAATGGTCTAGCCCTATATGCCCAATAAGCCCGTAGGCTTGGAAAAGGGTCCTTTACTTTACCTACTTTAGAACAAGTGATGCTCACAATGATTTTGGATGACCTACTTCATTATGAATAATAAATAAATCAACACGCAACTGATATCTGATGTTAATACATGTATTTAGCAGTGACAATCAGTATTCTGTACTCACTGTGGTGGCACTAATTCTGGAGAGTAAGTGGATGCCCTGCTCATATTTAATGGCTGACTCTGTGGATAAGATCTGTTTCAGAATCTCTGTGACAACATCAGAGTCACTTGAACCATAGTGTGAAAGGCACTGGACACTGGCCCATCTGTCAGCTTCATTATCACTTGCTAACATTTTCTTCAGTATCCCTTCAGCCTGAAATGTTGATAGTCATCAAAGTATTGATTAGTTCGCAGTCAGTATTCTGATTACTATGTATATATGACTTTAGAGTGTTAAACTGCTATATAGAACCTATGAGACATAGACAGTAAACAGAAAAACTGAAAAACATCTGCCCACAGTAATGATGATGTGTTTGAGAAGAATGCAAAGAAAATCCTGCAATGACTGAAAAATAAATAAAGCGATCCTTCTTGAGACAGGGGAAAACCATAAACTGAGTAGAGAAATTAGATCAATGAATGAATGAAGAAGTGATTCTAAAAATTAGATGTATACAGACAATGTTTTTTGGGCATGTTATGAGGAGGAGTGGATTCAAGAACTTGGTTACAACTGGCAAGCTATATTAAAAAACAACAACACACACACACAAGGGAAAGGCAAAGGAAAAAATATATGAAAGGCTTGCCCATATGTATGGGCCTGATCTGTAATTGTGTGAAATGGCAATGCCTGACCACCTATGTTTACTGTGCTTATTGGCAGGGGATATTTTCTCCAGGGTTGCAGATGTGTTGGGATATGAACAGGTAGACAGACCGGCTGGTTCTGCACCACTTGGTGGCAAACTGATGTATGACAAACTAGATGTTATCAAAGCCCTTTGTGAGGGAGTGAACACCGTGGAGGCACAACAGATCATCACGGTTTGAAAAAGATGGGCAGCAGGGAGTGGTCAGGTGATCTGTCTTACACTTAATTCTTTGAGGAAAGGCAAGATGGACATACAAACAGGCTGTCACTGGTACCATTGGAACTGGAAATCTGCGCAGGCTGCTGAAGATGGGGATAGAGTGCTTATGGGAATGTCTAGAGTGTTATGATATCAGTTTTTAACTCATCTCAAGTTAACTCTGTCAACAGTTTTAATTTAATATCATCACCATCAAGTGCCTTGCTGACTGGCATGGGTCTCTCTACAAATTGCTGTCTGTAACTGTGTGTATCAGCTCATCAGCCAACACTTGTGTCCATGCCATGACAAATGGCTGTCAAGAATCTTCTCATGCTATCTTCCTCTGTCTCTTTTTACGCAAAAACCTCTCCAGTGGTCACACAAAAATCTACACCATTAATAAATTGCTACTTACAAATAGTACATACTGACCCACAAAGAGCAGATAATCCATAGGTGTGCACAGTGGCAAAGTATATCCAGTTTTAAATACAATCACATTTATATGGTGCATAATTTCTGATTGTTATGAGTTAGATAGCATCCAAAATGTTTGACACACTTTACACAGTGCTCCATTAAAATATTTACAGTCAAGTTAAAACTAGTGGCGCAGTGATATCAATCACAAGTGTGAGAGAAAGTTAAGGCCGTTGTGCTGTGTATAAGAAGTTACTCTGTACCTCACCTCGAGCACTAGCTGACTCTTGGATGGTTTTACGCATCCTTACAAAAGACTTCTGCCGCACCTGCCCATTGTGCGCCACGGATAAGGGCTCACCTCTGTGACCTGATTTGAGTTGGCAGGGGATCTTGGAGTTAGTGGCTTCTAGAGATGTAGTGTCCAGTCTGGCTCACATCAGCCCACCCCCATTGCATGGGTGAAAATGGCTACCAAAGCTCAGTTAGAACATGGATTTTTTTTAAAATCCAGAAGCCATGAGTTGTTAACCCTTAGGCTCGGTATTATGGATATCGCAACCCTTCGGCCTTGATTCCATGATAAATACCATAAATCTGGGAGAAATGTGGTTTATCTGCCTACCCCCGGGCGTGAACCCAGACCACAAAGAGTTCATCACCCGGTCACCAGGCAATCCGGTTTAGCCAACTATGCCAGCGAGCTGGCCTTAGAACAAGGATAAAGTCTGCTAGCCAAAAATACAACTAAATGACAACCCTCAGTTAAAATGTCTGTCAAGTGGGAAGATTTACTGTACTGCTGAGATTCAGCCCAAAAATAAGAGACTTTCCCCCAGCCTAGACGTGCAATATCTTTTGGGGGTGCAACTTGTGGAAAGTCCTGTCTCCGAACAACCCTTGCTGTTCCTCAACTTGTCGTCACTGCGTTGGAGTACACCATGAAAAACTGTCAGTGTGCTGGTTTGGCTCAAATGTCCATTTATACCTGTCCTGTGGCACAGAAACAAAGTCCCCAATGTCCGACCGAAAAAAGCCCTACTAATTGGCAGAATGGCTCACATTCCCGTTACCAATGGCCTCACTCACCAGAGTGTTGGAGCTAAAAGGAAGAGCCATGCTGGATGTATGCTTTTTCTGTACCGTCTTGCTAAGTTTCCAGATAAAACAATGTAAAGGGTGTCAAAAATGCCGAAGAAAAATGTATATATTTATGTGGCCATCAATGTCCCTGACCTATACAGGCTGCTCCCTGTTGATCTCCAGTGGGTGCAGCCATTAACGATTGGAAAGCTCAACATGCCGATGTGAGATTAAGCAGATATGTGCAGGGCGCGACAATTCCTTGGGTGAGCCCAGGAACAGAGCGTCATGTGTAGGACTGCTTTTATGGAAGCCTCCCTGGATGGCAGGGAATGCTCATGATCTGCCCCTGCCTTCCCTTGAGCCCTGACCTGTCTACGTGTGGATGCCCTGGACGGGGGTCTCCATGGGCAAAACCTGTGGATAACCTGTGTATAAAGGGACAAAGAGAACACCACACAAATAAGGCCACAATATGTCCCTGTTCCATAAAACTATCCGGGAAGCGAACCAGGTCAACAAATGCTCAATGAAGTTGGATGTGTCAGCAGAAAGGCATAAATATCACAGCTCTGCTGTAAACAGGCACAACTCATTTATGTCACTTGGGCGTGTGAAAAGAAGAAGAAGAAGAAGAACTATAGAGAAAAAGCAGTACACATAGTGGCTAAGGTGTTAAGCCATTTGTCTCATGGTCTGAAAGTTGTAGGCTTTCTGGGAATTGCTGCTAGAGCTATGAAGGTTGTGCTTCATTCTCTTGAGGTGGCTAGCCATCGTGTAGAGACAGATCGAGTATTTAGGCATTATTCTTTCTTTGACATTACCATTACTTCTGCCTTCTCATCATTCAAGCTGAGGCCCATTCTATCATTTCCTACCACCACTATATCTATCAATCTCTGTAGTTCTTCATATGGCCTTTAAAACTTTTTTTAAATTGCAGCTGATAACATTTCATTCGTGAGTATTTTGTTTTCATCTGGAAAAGGCAGTGTGTGCTGTGGCCATTATTACTGTAACCTATATAAGGCATCTTCTGTCTTATTTTATAACAGATACACAAGTATATGCTAATCATTAAATTTTGGCAATTTACTTAGCACAACGAATGTATTGAAAAATAATGATTTTATCCATCTGGTTTAGGCAATGAACTTAGTAGCTAAACATATAGAAAAACTTCATATAAGAAAATTTACCTCAACATTAATTTTTTAGGGACCTAGAATATTTCACAATCTTCAAATAAAAATCTGAAGAAAACAAACTATATTTCTAGGAAAATAAAGTGAAGGGAAGCAACCACTGAGCTAGCCAGATTTCTTCACAATTCCCTGACTCAAAATAAAATAAAATAATATAAGCAGATGTATGTCATGATGTTTAAAACACAGTGAAGAACCTATGATACATCAAGTGCTCTCTAAAAACAGGAGCTCTAGTGTGTACGTTTTTATCAACTTAATTTGTCCTTTAAAAAACATAGGTCCTAAATGAACCAACTCCATGTAGACTTATTCATGATCAAACTGGAATTTGCATCATAAGTTTTCTATTGGATGAGGTCTCACAACAACCATCTTTAGTAGCCTCTTATGGCACAGATGATTCATTACAGTGTCTTTATTAATTGTTTTTGTTACAGGCCCCAAGTTACAAATGTGCTGGATTAATAGTTGAGTCAAACAAAAAAACAAAAATTATGAGTGTACCTTGTCCGATGGCCTGCCCAGCGAGTACATTGTCACAGCAGCAGCTTTTCTCACTTGTTGATGGCTGTCATCCAGAAGGCATTCCAAGGCAATGAATATCTTCTCTGGAAGCTCTTGTGCAGAGACATTATCTTTGGAATCATCACTGCTGTATTCAGCTGCCTGAAATATAAATGAGAGTTTTAAAATGAAGTATTTAGTTCGAAAGTAAACAAATAAAAGCATATTTTTATATTATTCGTGTGGTTAAGAGACAAAAAAAGAAAACAGGCTCACTATCCCCTAACAAGTATGTCCTCAAAGGTGACTGATTAGGGATTTGTGTTAGGCTGAAAAGTGTAAATATCAGCCTAGCTGTAAACCACAAGAAAATGCTGTAACCGGCCTTTTAAGCATAAACACAGACAAAGAAGTGGGTTCATATTGCAGTGGCTAGCATGCTTGCCTGCTGGTCATGTGCTTGAATCCCAATCAAGCTTGATTTTCACAAATGATCTGGCTCCTCGGATGACCAGCCTAAAAAGAAAAAAACTGTCATTAAGAAAGAAGAAATTACAGATAACAATTAGTTTCTTATATTTTGTTTAAGATTTTCACTTGTGCCAGTGACATTAACAAATTTTAGAGAAAAGTAACCACTTGTGAAATTAGATGTTTGAGAAAGACTGTTAACAAAACTACAAAAGATCCAGAATGAAATGAAGAGATTAGAAGAATTGTTTGAACAACACCCATCCTTTAATTTACTGAAAAACCAAAACCAAAATACTTTAGCCACCTAGTGAGAATGAATCGAGAGATGTCAGCAGCAAGAATGTACAACAAATAACCAAGAGGCAGAGGGAGACCTAAAAAAATGGATCAAGAGAGTCACTGATAGCCTAAGACTTCACAACATCATCGTATATTTACAAAAAAAAAAGTGCTCTGCTTAACTATTTATAATCTTAAACTGTGATTCTTAACAGCACAAAGCAGTTATTGACAACAGAGGAAGACTGAACAGACAAAACATAAATCTGGTGTACCAGTTATTCTAAAATACCTATTCAAGACAAAATTAATATTAGTGTTATATAACCTTTGCCAGCGTTCCAATTGCCTTCAATCTGACATGAGGCTGTATATCTGCCATGTCTCTGATAAGATCATCTGGGGTACTGTCTGCATACTGACCACTCATGAACCATCTGCTCCGCCAGTCATGAACTTATGGAAGAAAATAAGGCCAAATTCAAATTCAGTTTTAGATCGTTTAAGATTATTTTACAGAGCTAAAAGATTTTAACTAAGTAAGTATCTAAGAAGCTAAACTAAACTAAGTAGCTAAGTAACTAAACTAAATGAAATGAAACTAACTAGCTAACTAACTAACTAACTAACTAACTAACTAACTAACTAACTAACTAACTAACTAACTAACTAACTAACTAACTAACTAACTAACTAACTAACTAACTAACTAACTAACTAACTAACTAACTAACTAACTAACTAACTAACTAGGTAATTCCCTAACTAACTAACTCACTAACTAACTATTATAAAACAGAAGGCATGCTAACTTATGGAAAACCCTCTCCCCACCCTAAGTAAATGATAACAGTCTCAAGACATATATTCTTGAATTCATGATAGAAAGAAGAAATAAATTCACATGTATTTTGAAATAATATTTTAAACATTTACAACATTTCTAAGATTTTGATTTTTCTTAAGGACAGCTATCAAGTATTAGCTTTTTTTTGGCCATTTCAATGACAGAAATCTGGAATGTTTTTACTGTGTACAGAAACATCAAATTTTTTCACTGTTATCTGATAAAACTAGACAGTCAGTTTACAATTAGTGTTGCATTTAGAACTCTGTTGATAAAGACTTTGGTCAAAACATTCAGTTGTTTTTGTGCATGCCTTTTCCATTTTTTCCACTGAGCTTTCTAGTCAATTTTTGTTCCTGTGAATTTATTGCTTGTTTTGTAATATAATGAGGACTTAAACATTACATTTATTTTCAGTTAGAGTTTAGAGTACCCTATATTTACACATCCTCAAAGATATCACATAACTCAAGCTGTCTTCTTCTTTTTCTTCTTCTGCGTTCGACATCAGTCATGCTAAACATTGAGTCCTGTCTGGGTCAAAAATAGGATTGTGCGTTTAAGGTCGCCACCGGTCCCCCATAGCTTCTCTTGCAATGTGGATCCCCTGGGCCAGATCCACATTCTTTGCTGGGAGAGGTAAGGGCAGTACTGCAGTATGTGATCAGGGGTCTGTCTCTCTGCTCCACAATCACAGGCAGCAGATTCTTTTATGCCTATCCTGTACAGATGTGCTCGAAGACCACAGTGTCCAGTCCAAAGTCTAAAAATTGATGTTTGTTCTTTCCTGTTAAGTTTGTTTATGCTGTCACTCTCTGGTCTGTAATCTCCATTCTGCCTTCTCCACTCCCACTTGAAAGACTGCTTTAGTGCTGTTTTGGTTTCCTTGTAGCTGTGTGGTGGATGAGGTTGTGGAAGATTACTTCCAGCTTTTGCCAACTAATCTGCTCTCTCATTTCTTTGAAAACCACAGTGGGCTGGTATCCACTGCAAGACCAGTTCTGCTTCCTTGGAGAGTAAGCCAATGTTGGTCCTTAGATCTGCAATTAGTTAGTCTTGTTTGTTGCTTGATAGTGCTTGGAGAACAGACAATGAGTCACTAAGTATAACAATTTTGTGCCCTCTGTGTTCTTGAGTGATGAGATGTTGGACTGCAGAAAGGAGGGCAGTTGCCTCAGCTCTGAAGTTAGTGCAGATGTCACCTGCTGGTAGAGAGAGAGTTTTTTCTCTATTGCTAGGGGGTTTAATGTATATTCCACAACTCCCCTTTCTGAATGCATCTGTAGCAGAGCTGTCGGTGAAAACCTGAGTCCAAGTGGTGTTTGGATACTTCTCATCAAGCATAGCAAGAGCCAGGGTTCTCTGTTGTGTCTCCGTCTGGGCATCTTTTGAAGTGATCCCTGGTACCTTTAGGACTACATTTGCCTTCTCTGGCTTGCTTGTCCATTGTTCTGGCCTAAGTTTTTCGCACAGTGCTAAATATCTTTAAAGCAGATCTCGGTGCTGTCTGTACAGTTCTCTAGCAAGGTGGTTGGGGCTCTGGCGCTTTAGTCTATTTTTTGTTCTCTCTTGAAATTTAAAATGCAGTGGGTGACTTTGAAGTCTTTTTAATTTCTCATACCGTAAAAGAGTTTTGTATTGTCTTCTGAGTTTGAGTGGTTCAGTATCTGCTATCCTCTCTATCTCTCTGATGGGGGTGGTTTTCATGGCTTCTAGAACAATCCTTAATCGCATATTCTGAACCTTGTCCAGTTTTCCCATTGTTGTCTTGGCTGCTGCAGCAGCCAAGCTGTCAAATGGTTGCTATTTGTTGCGTATGTATTAAATCATACATAATCAAGACTAGTTAACATAAATAAGCATAGCAAAAACAATGTTCATTATATCAAAAAGGTCTCACCAATGGCTACAAGTGCATGATTTTGTCTGATTCTCTGTCTCTGTCTGGAATCTGTTGTTTTTACAGTCTTGTGGTTTATCTCGGAAGATTCTGTGACCATCAACTGTTCTGCATCCTTATTATGAATAAACTCTTAATAAACCGTGAAATGCTTAACCATTCAAAGCATTTGCTAGAGCTAAAGTAAATTATTTTGATTAATAAAGACCCAAACAATCATTATTAACTTCAAAGTTTTACATTAAGCTTCAGGGGAATAAACATTTTGCCCTCCAGTAATTGATAGGCATCACTGGCTATTGTCATTCCATGTTGACACATAATCATTATGTGTGTTCAGTACACCCTTGAACAAGGCAAAAATCTTGTTTCAGTATTACACCGAGACAACCTTGAAAAAAACTAAGGAGACCTTGAAAAAGACCTTGAAAAGCCTTGAAATTGATTGGTAAATTTGGCTATGAACCCTGATAATGTCTTTAATACCATATCACTTTAGATGTAGCACCTGTACTGATAGTTGTTGTTGCTGCATCCTAATTAGATGACCAAATCATTTGATCTACTTTTCAATGAATTTGGTGTAAGGTGTTCCCACAATCTGCCTGATAGTATCATCTCTTAATCAGTCTCAGATGATTAAATTTATGGCTTTCCTGAAACATCTCATCTCATTTGTTTAAATTTCACATGGGTGAGCCTTTAATAAGGGTAGCGGGGTAGGGTAAGCTTTAGCAACATAAATTTTAAGAAGCCTCCTTTCCTTAGCTAGTCTGGGGGATACCTCACGGGTAGTGGCAGAGTAACTGTTTAGCCTCCCGATCAGGGTTACCTCAAGTCATGGCAGGTGATGAATAAATGTGGTGTGCAGCTGAGAAGTTTTCAGTACTGGTCATCACTTTAACTGTGTTAGGCAGAGGATGCCTCTATAGGCACATTGGCTAGGACAACCCATCTAGTATGGACACTGCTCTCACAGAGTGAAATTGGAACCTACTGTGAGTATTTTGCAAAGAAATGTCATGTCTCTACAACGATCGCATGCATCACTTGGACAGATAAACAAGAGTTATGAAGATATCTTGAAAGAAACTAACTCACGAAGAGAACTGATTCCCCACATCAGAAAGAGACAGTCTACATTCTTTGGTCATGAGATAAGAGGAGAAAACTAGAGTACATAGTGACAGTAGTAAAGATGGAGGGGAGGAGAGGCAGAGGGAGACATAGAGAACAGTTGGTGGACAGTATGACATGGCATGGAGAAGGATCACCTGTATCAGATTTGACTGAAAGTACATGAGACAGAAGGTTGTGGATAGACATGACTACCAATGCCACACAGCATGGATTTTAAGAAGAAGAAGAACAAACTCAACAGGAAAGAACAAACATCAATTGTCAGACTTCGGACAGGACACTATGGTCTTCGAGCACACCTGTACAGGATAGGCATAAAAGAATTTGCTGCCTGTGATTGTGGAGCAGAAAGACAGACCCCTGGGCACATACTACAGTACTGCCCTAACTCCTCCCAGCAAAGACTGTGGATCTGGCCTAAAGGAGCCACATTGCAAGAGAAGCTATGAGGGATCGGTGGCAACCTTAAACGCACAATCCTTTTTGTGACCCAGACTGGACTCAATGTTTAGCATGACTGATGTCGAACACAGAAGAAGAAGAAGAAGAAGAGGAAGAAGAGCCTTTAGTATTGTCAAAGTGTGGAACTAGTGGCACAGTATTGGTATGAATACGCTATTTATAACATATTTCTTGGCAGTCATACTTATTTTTGGATGTCTTACTAATAATGTCAGTTGGTATATAAGTGTAGACTCTTTGACATAATAAAATGATTAAAAAAATTATTGGAGACTGCAGAAGTAATTTAATTTTCATTGGATTTTATCATCATCATCATCATGTGCTATGCAAGTAGGCACAGGCTATCATATTTCACCATCTCACACAATCATGAGAATCATGAATCACAAATCACTTCAGTGTTTTTGTTTCACTCCATCCATCTGGCCAGGCTATTCAGGTATTTTTCTCTTTTCCTCTTGTCCTCTTTCCATCAATCTTGCCAGTTGTTAACAAGTTCTTGAGTACATTCCTTATCATAACATGTCAAAAAAACATTGTCCATGTCTAATTGTTCTAAGTTTATGACTTTCCACTGTTTCAATGAGGACTGCTTCATTTGTTTATCTATCCTTCCATACTATTCTTTGAATTCTGGATTAGATTAACTGCAGGCAAATATCCCCATCAGTGCTCCAGTTTCCTCCCACAGATCACATAAGAAGCTCAACAGTACATGAATTCTGTATCACAGGCGAGGATTAAAATAATTGTATAACAGAATCACATATACTACAGACATTCTTTTTTAAAATTTGAAATTTTTTGGGCAGCCATCTATCTTGTCTCCTCTTATCAATTTCCAGTTGCCAAGGAATTTTAACACACAATACGTGCGTGAACCATCCACATTTTTCAAATTTGGGGGAAGAGAGGCTACATGTCTGTTCCATTTCCCCAGGATCAGAGAGAAGTATACTACATACTTCTCTTATTTTGTGAAGATCTAAATAGAAAACTGTGTGAATCGAGTCCAGTTTGAACCACCCAGAGAAGGACACCATAACATCATGTCTCCTCCATCTCCTGCTCCCTTTAGAAGTCACCCAATCTTAATTATCCAGGACAAAGTTGTGGAAGTTTGTAGAAAACTGCTTGTTTATTAACCAGAACTTCTTGTCCACCTTTTGTGTCTGAATGCAGCACAGGCCTTTAAACAGTTCATATACTCCAACCTCTTGCTACCTTTTGTAGTCCTTAATGCCATACCCATAATTTGTCCCTTTTACTTGAAAAATGCACATAAAATGTATAAAAAAAACTTTAATTAAAAAAAATGTGTTTACAAATAAATAAATAGATAAAATATGTTACCACAAAGGTCATAGAAAAGATTGTCAAAATAAAAAAAAAAATAAAAATAAACATTATGAGAAAACGTAAACTGTAACATGTGATAAGTGGGAAGATTATGAGGGAGATAGAGGACAACTGTAGAATCTTTTTTGCAGCCTTTTGAAATGACATAGCAAGGTGTCAGCAAAAAAAATGACACTTGCTATTCTTATTCTTCTTTTGTCAATATCTGCTTATGCAACTAGGCATCACAGTTCATCAGGCGAACAGCAACTGAGCCGGGGCATGCATGGTCGCTTGATATGCCGTGACATTATGCAGTCTCAAGGTGTCAGTGACTCCTTCCCTGCTGTTAGAGATCACAAAATGTGGAGAAGCACTATCACTAACAGCAGTTGGCAAGGCATATAATGATGATGATACAAAAAAAAATAAAATAAAATGAACAACAGTTTGTTAAAATAATTATAAAAAAAAGATTGAAACATAAACCTACACTTGCTGGCTGAGGCAGGTCTGTCCAACGCTTCCACCCTTTCTTCGGCTTGGGTACATAACGTTTCCTGAATGAACCTTGTTGTTGAGTGTGATCAGAGTCATCAGGTGTGTACCAGACATCAGGTTTAAGTGGCATCTCTGGTTGCAATTGTTTTCTGTATTTGTTGCCTGATTCTATTTTTATTTCATCTTGATTACCTCCATCATTGAAGATATGACTTTTACCTATGATTTTTAGAATTGATTGAAAACAGTTAAGCTGCTACAATAGGAGAAAGGTCACCTTTTAAATTTTGTTGCATTACTTGACCATACTGGAAGACTTAACTATATACTGAAGTTTATCAGAACAAGAGAAATGCAATGTGCTATAGCAAACAATCCAATTAATTTTGTGACTGTCCTTTATTAAAGTATTTCAGGATTCACACTCTAGACAAAATCATCTATGCTCAGTTTATCTGAACAGATAAATGAAAGGCTTGGATGTAATGGAGCTGTGGCAGAGCAATGACTAGCACGCCTGCCTGCCAATGAAGTGATACAGGTTTGAATCTCAGTCCAGGTGGACTATCAAAACTGACCTGGGTTGCCAGGTAGCTCCAGCCTAAAATGGGCATCAGAAAAATTCTGAGTAGTAAATGTGACCGGCATGATACTGACGAGATCATTAGTTAAGTGCTGATTGGTCTAAGAAAATCTGAGGTTGGCATAATAAGCCCAAAATATGATGCACGGGAAGATGAGGTACATTATAACATGATGTTGCCCAGAAGCTGTACATGGCTGTTATCCTGGTGTCAAAACATCAAAATAGTTATGGTATATATGTGGCTTACTTAGCTGCTTGCTCATTCACTCCCCCACTCACTCATCCAAACCCACTCACTGAATGTAATCCTCTCATGAAATAAAAAAAATATATACATTTTTAAGAAGGCTGAAGTTTGTAATGGCATCGTTATTTTACTTGCTTTTTATCTCTGGTTGCATCAGTAAACATGCAATTATGGAGGAACTGACTATATTTACTATTATTAGAATTTCAGACATATAACATGTGAAAAATTTGTGAAAATTTGAACACTCATTTTTTGCCATCTTCCAGTCTCAGTTAGAGACACAGACACATTATTATCACATTCAGTTTTCTGGGAAGGTTAACCCAGCCAACAAATGCCTGCAGAGGGTGATGTGTTGGTCGAAAGGCACAAATATTGCAGATATGCTGAAAATGAGCACAGCACAATTACATATTCAGATGAACGCAGATGATGATGAAGATACCCGGTTGTAGCCTCAATCGCATTTTTATTGTAAATTGGAGTTTTTCTTCATCTTCTTTTTCTTCTTCTTCTTAATCTTCTTCTTCTTAGTCTTTTTCATCGTCTTCTTTGTTTACCATCTGTGAACTTCAGCAGAAGGTCCTAGCTGGTCGTCAGTGTCCAGACTTTGGTCTTATTCAAGGACATGAGTGTTGCAATAACTACCGTTTTTCAGATCTGACTGTGTTCAGATTTTCTTCAACTTTAAAGGAGATATTGATCCAATGTTGACCTGACCCCCCCCCCCCTCCCCCTCCCCCTGTAGGGAGCCCATTGCTGGGATGACCATTCAGTCGTGTAGATAGATCTTGACCAGTATGAGTGGCTGGTGGTCATGCATGTTCTGTATCCCTGTTACACATTCCTTCAATGCCAACACAAACAAGCTCTTTCACTTTACTAATTCATGCTTCACTCTAGTAACTCATGAGTGACCAATATATGCTAGAACTTACCAGTAAGCCATTCCTGCTGGTATAAGTTGTCTGTTTCATAGATTTTATCCCCAACTTTAGGATTGAGAAAATCCTTTAATTTTGGAAGTGGAGCCTGAACATGGTCTCGTATTTGTATATTGTGGGCTGTTGTATTGATTGCACCTGAAAATTAATTTTGGTAAGATATAATTTATTACTGGAGACACTTTAGCACAGTGACTACCACTCATATCTGCTGCCTGGTGGTAATGTGTTTAATCCTCAATGAGGTATCTATATATCTATATCCAGGTTTTTTTTTTTCAAGAAAAAAGATCCCGGTACTCACCACCCAGTATCTGAAAAAGGTGCTGGTAACCACTGCAAAGTGTATTACATCGGCGATGAAAAAATTATGCTTTAACATGATAAGGGAGGGGAGGGTGGGGGTGGGGGGGGGGGGGGGGGGGGGGGGGGAGAGGAGTAGTGCATGCCATGGAGTACTACTCAATAAAATACATGTCTATATCTATATCATTTTCATAGCGGTTTTGACATGTATTTCATGTAATTTTACATTCCCCTTTCTGTTGTCTTTCTCCAGATTTCCTTAGGTTGTCTCCATCTCCCTTTCCCATTTGCTCCATTGGAGAGCTGTTCTTGCTGCATACCAATGTGTACTACTAGAAACAAAATATATGTCTATACCTATATTCTTTTCATGATGTTTTAAACACATAAGGGATTTACAAGTGATCTCTAGTGCTGCTGGTCTGCCCGTGGCATCCCATGTAATTTTACATTCCTTCATCACCCTTGTCTGTTGTCCTTCTCCAGATTTTCTAAGGTTGTCCTTGCCAAAGTCAATAAGGCATGGATTTTTAATAAAAATTTGCTTGGGCTTTTATCTCAGCCCAGGTTGCAACTGGTGCCAGGAAATGTTCTATGAAGTAACGGTAGCCAGCAAGATACTGACCATGTCAGTCACTGCCAGTGATTGGTTTAAAACTATGGGGCTAACACAATATAGCCAACACACCTCAAGGTGTGAAAAGGGTTTCTTTAATTTTGCCAAGGTTTTGTAATGGAGTCTGCTGAACGTGAAATACATAAAACAGTGGAAGTAACTCTACCAAACTAAGTCAGATCTCATGCAGTTTGTGTGTGTATGCTACGCTGATTTCATCAGCTAGTTATGTCCTAACCTGATATGACAAACAATAAGACTTTTAATGATTGGCACTCACAGAAAGAAGTTCCTTGTGTGGGTTCCATAGCCTCATTTTGGGGGAAAGAAACAATAGGCCTACTGTCCGCATAACAAGCATGCCATAAAAGGCAACTAATTAGTGGTGTTTCCTTTTAAGTTGAGTACCTTTGCCTGCAACAATACCGAAGTCCAGAAGAAAAAAAAATAAAAATCAAGAACCTTCCACTGGAGTTTGCAGCCAGTGAACCCAAAGAAGATGAAAGAAGAAGGAGAGAGAGAGAGAGAGAGAGAGAGAGAGAGAGAGAGAGAGAGAGAGAGAGAGAGAGAGAGAGAGAGAGAGAGAGAGAGAGAGAGAGAGAGAGAGAGAGAGAGAGAGAGAGAGAGAGAGAGAGAGAGAAGGAGCTGACTTGATATGTTTTTTTCTGGAGATGTGAATTTTTACTAAAAGTCTTGCACACTCTGTTGGTTTTTGAGTTTGGAGAGACAGAAAGGAGAGCTCTACGAAACATTTTGTACTGACATTTTACTGGTTTAGGAAAAAAAAAAACATCTATACCAAATGTCACTGTGATAGATAAAAGCCCTTTTCAGAGCTCATATGCTTTGCATATCAATCATTAGACCTAAAAGTTAATACTCTTTCAATAAGAATCCTGAAAATACAATCCAATCATCCTGAGATTTCGGTCTTAACATGACAGTGATCTGGTAAAAAGCTGGAGGCAAAAATTGTACATAAGAATATTTAAATTGTTTTGGTGGCTTGTTTTCAACTCTACACAATCTACCCAAGCAGTTTGGGCTACTGATTACTGAATTGAAAATCAACATCATAGCATACCAGGCATACCCAAAGATTGTCTGTCTCCCACAGCAAATGTTGTGAGGTGTAGATGTTGACAATTCCAGTAGACATGTGTCTGATTCTCAGTCGGCACTGGGGAAGGTTTCAAATGGACTAATGTGGCATAAGTGGACACCATGCATCAGTACGCCAACATTGCAGGGAATCACGTGGATATACTGTCTGGGGTATGCAGGAGTGCAAGGAAATGAAAAAGCGGATTTTCTGGCATCAAAAGCGAAAGCTAGGGGAACACTCATATTGGACAAGGAAGATATTCTGAAGACCATATATGAATGACTTTTGGCAGAAGACACGAGATTAGGTGAAATAACATCGGCAAGAATGTGAAGGAGGAATTCAGTGTGGAGCCGGCAAGGAGGGACAGATGAAAGGAAGAGACTGGTGTAAGTATAATCAACGTACAACGGGAACAGTTAGCATCTACACCTTACATCATTTGCTGCAGGAGACAGAGCATCTATAAATATGCCTGGTGTGCTATGATGTCGATTCCTAAATCAGTAAATGTGTAAACTAGTAGACATGTACACATGGTGTACTCTTCCTCTCATAGGCACTTTCTTGCTGGATTCCATATTCATGCAAACTTACACATGTTGTTTCCTCTAACTTTTATCAGCAGTTATTAATAAATGGTCAACTGGGAATAAATGGAAAAATCAGGACATGCTTACAGAATGACTTGGTCATGTGATGCTTAGAAATCTCATGTTGCAATGATTTCTTATTATAGCTTCTAGTTTTTTTAACCATAATAATAGTGTATGTACTATTTATAATGCTTAGTATCAGAATTTTCTACACAATAGTACTTAGTAAATAAATGGACTAACAAGCAAGCAATGCACGAACACATGTGGGAAGAAGCATGGACAGAGCAGATATCATCAGTACTGCACAGACTAGGCTAGTGGATAACGACTAATCTCTGATACTCACACGATTGCTAGTAAAGCACTGTGTCAAATTCAAGGCCAATATAGGAGATATAAAAGGAGACATAACTAACTCCTCATAGGAACAAACAGTGGAAGTACCTTGGAGTGGCTGCTACACCAGATGACTGAGCACCCTTAGAATGTCCAACATGCATTGACATTGATTGGATAACATAACAATAGTACTATTAATTTTTTGAAGTCATGTTAGTGACTGGAAGTCTTGGGTTCAAAACCTCAGCAAGGTGGATTTTTATAATTAACCAGGGCTCCCAAATGAGGCCAGCCTTTCCTTACCAGGAAATGTTCAGGGATGTAATAGCAGCTGACATGATGTTGACACCACTCACTGAGTGCTGACTGGTAAACACAAAAACTGGTCCAGCACCATATGCAAAAATGTCAGTGTCAGGAGAAAGGTCCTTTACTTACTTACTCCTATATTTATTCCAAAAAAAAAAAAAAAAAACCCAGCAATAACAATAATAAAATTGTATTTTTTATTGATGTAAGGTTTCATAAAAACAAATATAAATACTTAACCAACCTGCTTCTTCTTTGTCTTGATTTCTCTTCATTTTTCTGATACCAGTTGGTTGTCTATAAAATGGAGCTTGATTATCATCCGAATATGGATCAATGGCTGCTGCTGGTGGTGGGGTTACATTGTAGACTTTTGCTAAAATTCTGCTAAAAAAATGGTATGTATATGTATAGGAGAGCATGTCCCTTCATGGTGGCAAAATAATGATATGTATATGTATAGGAGAGCATGTCCCTTCATGGTGGCAAAAAAATGATATGTATATGTATAGGAGAGCATGTCCCTTCATGGTGGCAAAAAAATGATATGTATATGTATAGGAGAGCATGTCCCTTCATGGTGGCAAAATAATGATATGTATATGTATAGGAGAGCATGTCCCTTCATGGTGGCAAAATAATGATATGTATATGTATAGGAGAGCATGTCCCTTCATGATGGCAAAATAATGATATGTATATGTATAGGAGAGCATGTCCCTTCATGGTGGCAAAATAATGATATGTATATGTATAGGAGAGCATGTCCCTTCATGGTGGCAAAATAATGATATGTATATGTATAGGAGAGCATGTCCCTTCATGGTGGCAAAATAATGATATGTATATGTATAGGAGAGCATGTCCCTTCATGATGGCAAAATAATGATATGTATATGTATAGGAGAGCATGTCCCTTCATGGTGGCAAAATAATGATATGTATATGTATAGGAGAGCATGTCCCTTCATGGTGGCAAAAAATGATATGTATATGTATAGGAGAGCATGTCCCTTCATGGTGGCAAAAAAATGATATGTATATGTATAGGAGAGCATGTCCCTTCATGGTGGCAAAAAAATGATATGTATATGTATAGGAGAGCATGTCCCTTCATGGTGGAAAAATAATGATATGTATATGTATAAGAGAGCATGTCCCTTCATGGTGGCAAAATAATGATATGTATATGTATAGGAGAGCATGTCCCTTCATGATGGCAAAATAATGATATGTATATGTATAGGAGAGCATGTCCCTTCATAGTGGCAAAATAATGATATGTATATGTATAGGAGAGCATGTCCCTTCATGGTGGCAAAATAATGATATGTATATGTATAGGAGAGCATGTCCCTTCATGGTGGCAAAATAATGATATGTATATGTATAGGAGAGCATGTCCCTTCATGGTGGCAAAATAATGATATGTATATGTATAGGAGAGCATGTCCCTTCATGGTGGCAAAAAAATGATATGTATATGTATAGGAGAGCATGTCCCTTCATGGTGGCAAAATAATGATATGTATATGTATAGGAGAGCATGTCCCTTCATGGTGGCAAAATAATGATATGTATATGTATAGGAGAGCATGTCCCTTCATGGTGGCAAAATAATGATATGTATATGTATAGGAGAGCATGTCCCTTCATGGTGGCAAAATAATGATATGTATATGTATAGGAGAGCATGTCCCTTCATAGTGGCAAAATAATGATATGTATATGTATAGGAGAGCATGTCCCTTCATGTGGCAAAAAAATGTTATGTATATGTATAGGAGAGCATGTTCCTTCATGGTGGCAAAATAATGATATGAGTTATGAACTATTCTACAATCGCTCCAGAAGAAAATGTGTGGATTTTCAACTTTAATATTATTTTAATATTTCTTAAAATACCATAGATTGAAAAAAAAAATAAATTGACATTTTACAAAAATCTAAATGTTGAAGAAAACTGGTTCAAGGACGGCATCATGTCTTGGAAATTGAAATATTTAAGCCAATAAAATGCCACAGTGAATTATGAAGAACTTTTGGAAGGCAGGATCCCCAGAAGGGGAAGAAATAGATTAGTACAAACGTGGACATAGGATACTGGTGACATCAACATGAGAATATTTGTACCCCCCAAAAAATAAAAACAAAATGATAATGTTATAATTTCCAAAACTTGAAGCACATTGGGCTTGTGGTGGTAACCTTATTGTTTAAAAAACTAATTGGTGATATGGTCAGTATCACCCCAGAGACCATTTATTTGAGGATGATTTCCTGGTGCCTTTTTTAGGTATCATCAGTTCAGTTAAAAAAAAAAATCTACTTTGCTTAGGATTGGAGCTTATGACTACTGAGCCAGCAAGTAAATGTAGTAACCACTGCACCATAGCACCTTTGTGAAATTATCAGTCAGGAAAACTATTAAGAAACTAAGAGACATTCTTGATGGCTCAGAAATTAAAAAAATTCTTTGCAGAGGATCTGCTAGATGATGACAAGAATAAGAGATCATGTTGCAGCATTGTTGTCAGTGTGATTGCTTTGTACCACAAAAGTCAAGTTTCTTCAATGATTACAGCTCTGTTATTGATCAGTCTTATTGAATAAGAACCGAAAAATTTCCAGAACTTTATGAGTAGGAGCAGCTGGTCAGGTAGTTAGAATAATGGGCTCTAATCTGGGAGACCTGGGTTCAAAACCTCAGTAACATGATAGGCATTTTTTTTCTATTTGGGGCAAAAATAAAATAATCCTGACCTGTACACTTCATGTCAACGGCACTAGAAATATGGCCTTAAATTCTCAGGCTCAAGGCCAATACTAGCCTAGCCTGTCCTACACAGTTGTTAAAAAAAGTGATGAATTCATGCAGTAAAGACAGTTATGACAATGAAAGGCATTATGAATGAGAAAATATCCTCCAACTTGTGGCAGTTATATGTCACATACAGCTCTTGGCTGATTCCTTGGGGAGGGGGGTCTAAATGGTGAAGTTGTTGAGCCCTTTTTCTCGTGCTCTGAAGGTCATGGGTTCATTTCATGGCTGTGCCATTCAGTTCACAAGTGCAATTTTTATGCAGATCTCTGGGGATCATCACAGCAGCTACGAAGTTCGTACTTTGTACGATGCTCTCGGCATGCGGCTAGCCATTCTGCGGAGAGAGACTGAGCCATAAGGCATCTGAAGAAATCAATTTTATATCATAAATAATATGTCATGTGTGTCCAGTCTCTCTGTCTGTGGACCATGCATTATAGCATACTGATTCTTCTTCTTCTTCTTTGCTTTCACTGATTGCAAACTCTGGCAAAGAGTTCTGGTTGTTCGTCCACTTCTAAATTTTAGCCTTGTTTCAGACCTTGCATTTTGCATGCACATCCATTTTACAGACCTTGCTTATTTGTTTACCCTGTGCAACACAGCTGATCCTTTCAAAGAAACAAAAAAAAAACAAAAAAATAACAACCCAACTGTCATGTGCAATCTTGTCAATATCTTGTTTGGAATCCAGTCCAGCATCTTTGGCTTCCATCATAGTTGTAGTGTTTTTCTTGGATGTTCTTGCTCTTTCAATCTAACTATTTCCTATATCAGTGTCTATTTTATGATTCTTTGTCCTGCTTGTCTCAGAATGTGATCATGATTACTGCTTCTATTTTATAGAGTTCTTGTATTACAATAAAAAAAAAGTAAAGAAACTTGCTATGTGCAAGGATGAGTACTAAGCAAATCATAATGTAAATGAACCCTTTTTTTATGTCTTTAGGTTTTCTGTAAATATGCTGCTAGTTCCCTATTTTTTAATAAATACTTGGCATGTACAGAATTGCATGCTCCCCATGTGGGTTCAGGAGCTCCAAGCTCAGGAAAACAAGAATAGACCCACTGCCTCCCTAACAAACATGTCGTAAGAGCTGACTAACTGGGGTTTACTCCGAAGTCGGAGAGCATCAGCCTGAGAGGCAAGAATCAACAGTCTGCAAACAAATAAGCCAGGTTTGTAAAATGGATGTGCAAGCAAAACTCAAGGCCTGAAACAAGACTAAAGTCCAGAAGTTGATAAACAACCAGAACTTTCTGCCAGAGTTTACGGTTAGTGAAAGCAAAGAAGAAGAAGAAGAATCAGTATGCTATAAAATATGGTCTACAGACAGAAAGACTGGACAGACATGACAGATTATTTATGATATAAAAAATTATTTATATCTTAACTTCATACAAACAATAAGTGAAATGATAAACTAAAATGTTAAAACTAGAAATTACTTACGAGGGTTCATTTTTCTTCCACTCCTTTTTATGCTTCTGATCTCTGTGCTGATCATCTTCTTCTGTGTCATTGATTTCTTCTGTTACAAGATCTGTGTGCCTTGAATGTCCATACCAAGATGTAAGTTCATTTGCAAGTTTTTCTTTTTGGCCATCTTCTGGTGTACATGCGTGGACAATCCAGTTTGCAGTTAGCTGACTCAGTTTAGACAAAAGATGATCATCCCAATCCCTTTTCTGAAGTTTCAGATTATTTTGTCTTTCTTCAGAAATGTCAGGCAGAATACTTAATTTTGGCTCTTCTATGCTGGCTTTCACATTCTGGCTCATGGGTGCAATCTGCTCGTATGTTTCATTTCTCACATTGCTAGATTTTACAGTGCTCTTTTCTGCTAAATTGTTGGCATAAATTGTCTGAACACTGTCATTGTTTATCTTTGGAAATGTACCCATAGAGCCAATTTCGGTCATGAAAAGAGTACTGGACGAATCCAGTGGTAATACATATTGTGAATTCTTTGCTTCTTCTATACTCTTGCTAGCAACTTGGACTGGTCTATGAAGCTGATTTTCCTGACTTTTGACCATTTTTTTCAGAGGTGTAACCTGATATGGCTTGATAACAGTACTTTGATAGTGGGGTACACAATTCTCATGTTGATTTCTAGTTTTATATCTGCTCTGACGTTTTGTTTGCATACGAGAAGATATTAGTTTTCCTGGCTCAAAGATGCCCTGAAAATACTTTTCACTGTACGGCATCATATGTAGACAACGATTCTCAATCACATCCTCTGTAAACGTCAGGTTGTTACTGATCATCTTTATATATTTCTCACTTGCTGGCTTTACATCTTGGGTTACAGTGGATAATAGAAAATGACTGGGGACTTTGGAGCTGCCCAGGGCAGCTTTTACCCTGAAGTTTTCAGCTTCATAATAAGGAATATGAACATTTGCAGAACATGGAAAAAGTCCTGTATGTCGCTGCAGATCAGCGTTCAAATTAGATGCCATGGCTGTTCAGCTGTCAGAAAAATAATTTATACAACAGAATATTATACTGTGTATGTATTTACATGAAATAATGACTCTATATTTATATTTAACAGCTAGACATATAGCAATTTAATATTTTGAAAGAAATATGAACACCAAAAGATTTCTATAATGGATAATTTCAGAAATCCTGCTTTACATCAGGGAACTACCGGAGTAAATGGAAATGAAAGAGGTGACAGGTCTGGTGTGTCTGCAGTGGTTAGTGGAAGAAAAAATATGGAAAGGACAGACATACTCAATGCACTGCACTCCAGAGGTGCTGAGACAAAAAAATGTCAGAGCTGATGAATAGCCTGTTGGAAATGAATATTAATGAAGATAAGCAGAAAGCAGTTGCACAGCAAAGAAAAAAGATATGCCTGTCAACTCCTAGTGAGGAAATAGGGCATGGAGTTATCGAGATGGCTGCTGCATTGGAGGATGGTGCATGAATGGGTTGGTCCAATGTGCTAAGATGTTGATACAGTCAACAAGTTATGTATATGTCTCCTGCTACAATAATCTTAGTGGTTCATTTAAGGGACTTCCGTCTTGTCATTTATAATTTCTGTTGGGTCATAGTGTTCTTTTCCATCTCTGATCACTTTAATTTGTTTATAAACGTTTTTGTAGCACTTTTTGGTTCAGCATTCAATATTCCGCTGTATTTCTGCTATGTTTCGTTGGTGTTTCTTGCTGTTCTGTATTCTTTAAGATCATCTTGTTTTTTAATTTTCGCCCATGTCCGGTATCTTCTCCTTCACTGCCGTTTTTACTCCTTCGTTCTACCAGGGTGTTTTCAATGGTCTAGTGCTTCTCTTCTTTACTATTCCTCATGTTTCCCCTGTTGTTTCTAAAATTGATCTTTTAAACATTTCCCATTCCTTCTCTACTAATTTGGTTTCTTTTGTTGGCCTGTATAATCTTCAGTAATTTTTTTTGAAGATATGCTTTATGTGCATCATTAAGTCATTTCATCTCTACATTTTACTTGCCTGCTGCTCAGAATCCATCTTTTGTTAGATTCTACTATAATTTTTCGGCTCTCCTTTGAACTTCTACCTGATATTATGGCGGCCAAACAAATACCAGAACAGGGCTTTAGTCCTATGCAGAATGCGGACTTCCTGCGGCAAACACATCGTGGCAAAACTAGGATCGGCTCCGAATAACGAAACAAATGCTCTAACACGGTCCCAGCGATATGTTGATTGCGGACCTGTTTCTTCGAATATGAAGCACCGCTGACAGTATCCCCTGGGCCGCTTCATGCAGCGGGGATAGGTGGCCAAAATAGATGGCTGGGACTCATGAGCAGCAGCTACTGCATCTCCGGCAACTTCCAATTTAAGTTGCCAGAAGTGCGCAATTGACACGCGACTGAGGCCCTGTTAGGGTATATTTTCTGCCTCGATAATTTGGGACCGTTATTAGATAGTGGGATATTTGTTTGGCCACCATAATTTCGAGTAGAGGTTCCAAGGAGAGCCAATTCTTCGGCTCTCCTCCAAACTTTTACCCCGGCATTATGGCGGTGGAAGTTGCAGGAGATGCGGTAGCTGCTGCTCGTGAGTCCCAGCCATCTAGTTTAGCCCCCATCCGTGCCGCGGAAGCTCGCAGATTTTTAATAGGACTCAGCCCTGTAAGAATATTTGTTTGGCCGCCATAATAGGGGGGGGGGGGGGGGTTTAAGTTCGGAGGAGAGCCAATTTTTCGGCACTCCTTTGATCCATTCCTCAAAATGGCGGCATGCCACATTCTGGCCATAAAATATCCAAAATTATCCGAACGATGGTGTTCCCGTATATCTAAAATACGGACTGTCTGCCAAGGGACAAATCGCGGCAAAACTAGGATTACTTGACAATCACTATCAACATTGCACACGGTACTAGTAGCAGACGATAAATACCGACTGTTGACAACAATTTCGAGCGTTTCTGCGACGACGATACTAGCAGACGATATTAGCGACTGTTGACCAATTTCGAGACATTACAGACGATGAAAACGATTAGCAATACTGTGTTCTTCCGATTGGAGGATTTAGCAGCGGTAGATGTCAGACTTTTCGGCATGCGCCAAACGCGATTAAACTCATCGCCGAGCGTATCTAGGTGCCTGGGACTCACGAGTACAGTAATTGGAGGAAGTTGCAGGAGATGCAGTAGCTGCCACTCGTGAGTCCCAGCCATCTAGTTTAGCCCCCATCCGCGCCGCGCGTAGCGGCCCGGGAGATACTGCTCGGCGGTGAGGCACACTCGCAGACACAGGTCGGCAAGCAACGTATCGCCGAGACCCTGTCAGAGCATTTGTTTCGTTATTCGGAGCCGGCACATCTATTTTTAATAGAACTGACCCCACATTCGGATATTTTTGGATATTGTTTGGACAGAAATTGGCCAATTTAGCTCCTTTTCAAACGCCATCACATTAAAGCCGCCATTTTGGGGAACGATTCAAAGAAGCGCCAATTTTTCTATGGTGGTCTCCTCCACTAAAATCTCCGCTTTGTAATGTTGACTTACAGGTTTCATTGAGGTATAATTGAATCTGTAAATTAAATATCTATCTAGGTGTTATTGTTTCACAAGTTAGAACCCAATATATAAACGTCACTATCATCATATTGTCATTGTCATTCAAAAAAAAAAAAATCTTTTGCCTCTAGATAGTAGACAACTCAACACAGCTTCAAAATGATGATAGCAAGGAATAATTGTAATGAAGAATTCTTAATTCTTACAACCAGCGCAAGCTTAGCTTAAAAATAAGAAATTTACATAATGTACAGTAGAAATAATTTAAATAAATGATATTGATAATGTCTTTACTACCACACCACTGAGTGTAAACAGTACTTGCCGACGACGCTACGGTTTCTATGCAAATGTTTAACAATGTATCTCCTTCAGAGGAGAGCTTCTGAGCACACTCAAGTCATCATCATCATCATTATGTGCCCTGCCAACTGGCGTAGGCGCTCATGCGTCTCCACAGATCATGACCTCTGGTTGCCTGGAACAGCTCTCTTGATGATATCCCTCCATGCCATCGTTTCAGCCCACCCGGCATCATCTCTCTTGGTCTGCCTCTACCAAGATGGAAAGACGTGTTGTAATTTTTAATACTATAGGAAAAGTATTTATAGAAGAGAGCAATTATGTTGACTATCTTTTCTGGAATTCCATAATGTCGTTATATTTTCCAGACTGTCTCTATGGACGCTGTAAAAAGCTTTCTCAAAGTTCACAAAATTAATATATATACTTCTCTGCCATTCACTGCATTGTTCTAAAATACTACAAAGAGCGAAGATGTGCTCAGCTGTTTCTCTGCCCTGCCTGAATCCCGCTTTTTCTACTAGTAGGCATTTATCTACTCCCATTATGACGATTTTACAAAAAAATTTTGCTTGGTATTGACAGCAGAGTAACTCCCCTCCCAAATATCATTAAACAATGGTTCTAGAATGCTAGCAGTTGTGTTGGGATTTACTTTGAGCAGTTCTGCTGGCAGTTCGTCTTTGCCCGATGCTTTGTTGTTCTTTAAAGTGTGAATAGCTTCAAGGATTTCTTGTCTGTTTGGTGATTTAATAATTATGTCTAGGTCATGAGAGGCTGAATTCCTGTGGGGATGTTCAGGATCTATTCAAGAGGTTAGAGAAGAGTTTAGTCCACAGCATGTTTTGTTTGTGTTCTGTGGTAAGCAATGTGCCTTAGTTATCTCTGATGGGCATACTGTGCTAATTGTTTCTGCTTCCGCAAATTTGTTGGGTAATTTTGTGCAGGGTTTGTAGATTATGTGCTTTAGCAGCATTTACTGCTGTTTCTGTTAGATTCTCCACAAATCTCCACTTGTGAGTTCTGGTACTTTTCTTTACCATTTTATTTAGTTCGCTATATTATTCTAACATTAGTTTGTCTTTCTGACGTTCTGATTTAGTGTGATTTATGAACCCTGTCCATCTTCTTTAACTGATTCCAAGAATATGCAGTTTATAGATCTGAATTTCTTTAATTACTTGGGCGGTTTTGGTCGTTTCAAACATGGTTCTTACATTCCGGAAGCCAATTCTTAATTTGGTTTTGACGTCCAGTAGACTTGTTTTCCCATCATGGGCTTCCTTTCGGCTTTCACCCATGCTGTTCATGCTGACGAGGGACTCTGTCCCAAGACCGCCGGACGTTTAGATCACTTATTTCCTCTTGAAGTTTCAGTAACGTTGTATTTTTTTTTTACAGGCAGAACTGTCAACAATGCGCACAACCACCAAGCCTGGAGGACTGGGAGGCCATCTTTAGTCTGGCCCCTCACTAATGTTCTGCCAGCTTGGGCGACCCTTCCAGGAAGACACGTTCCCACCGGCATAGCTCACTCGATCACTGAGGCTCTCAAGCTCCCCCACCACTACAAGGTAATGGCCTCGGGGGGGGGGGGGGGGGGGTGTTTGAATTTATCTCTTACAAAAATAACTGATAAGAGTTAATATCCATTTTGAAGTATTTAAAAAAAAAACAACAACACCATATTCCAATTATAAATTAGTTGGGTTGAACAGGATATTGTTCAAACTACTACTTGAATTACTACTACTGCTGAAAGTATCAACACGTTTTCATATACGTAGCTGGAGTTGTTAGCTGTGTATTCTTCACAGGACGTTGCATAATCAACCCCAGCATTTTTCGGTTGTTGTGGTTTTTCTTGGCAAATTTATGTTCAGGAGTTTGCCATAGCTTTTAAACGGCTGGCTCTAGATACCACTTTTAAAACAACGCAAAGCGGTTTGCTGTCAAATCGCCTGCCGCTTGAATCGAACGTAACACCCCTACGTTACGAACTGCTTTCGTAACACACGTAAAATTTAACTCTGCGCTGGCCGCTGAAGATAGGGGTATGACGCTTATGAGAATATCTCGAATGTTATGATGTCTGTTTTTACTGAAAAAAAAAGTTAGTTGCGTATCCTTTAC